GAGACATAGAGACAGAAAGCGAGAAATCACCCCCCAGGGGAGATGGTCACTCCGCAATCCCTTCTCCTCGATTCTCCTCTCAGGATCTTGGGCATCATGCGTTATGAGATCTGTCAGTCCTTGTTACAATAACTCTAACTGCAAACACCAGTCCATTCTCCTCTCAGGATCTTGGGCATGCATGCACACGTGCCTGGCGTGAGTTTTAAGCCACCGGGTCTGGAAGCGAAAAGCGGTCGACTATGTAGGAGTCTAGCGACATAGCCATTACGCTAACTGCTGGTTCCCAACACCTAGAAGTCTTAAATAAAAGTGGGTTTCCTGATACCTCCCCCAAAGATATTGATTCTGTTGGTATGGATGTTGCTTATGCATTTACATTTTTGAAAGATTCCTGGGTCATTTTCTACTACATAGCCAGAATTGAGAACCTCCAAGGTAAATGATCTGCGATTGCTTTAAAATATCTGGGTCATATTTCAGCAACTAGCTGAATCCTGTTAGGTCCATTTGATGCACTGCACAAAGACTAAATTTACTATTGCTTACATCATTTTTTCTACAACTCTATTATCCCCAACCCAAGGCATAAGCCTTTCTAAACATCTATCAGTACAGTATATCAATAATATTTTCAGTTTACAGTGCTCTATATATCTTTCACTCACACATCTTGAACTAACCTCCTTCTAAATTACTTTCACATGTCTTTTGATGAAATAGTAATTTTTAAAAATGCTCAAAAAATGTTCAGAAATGTTTAAGATTCCATTTTATCTTCTTGAAGGATGAATATATGGATCTTTATTGATGATATCGTCTACTTTGCAGGCATCTCTAGTAAAAAAAAAGAGTGCTGTTTTGTCTTTTCTATAACTATTATTTCTGAGTGAATCTTTGAATTTAAAATTCTTTCTCTTCTCTAAATCTCCACTTAATAATCTTGATTAATACCTCCATTATGATTTTAATTTTGGGCCAACTTAATGATTAAAGTGGATGGATCCCACATGACTCATCACATGGTTCATTTCCCAGACCCAGCAGATTGAAAAACACACCAAATACTAACTGTACATGAGAAATGGAGAAGTGATTGCAGCATGACCTTCACCATGAGGAGTGCTTTCTCACTTTCTTTCTCTCTCTCTCTTACTTTTTCTCTCTTTCTTCAGTTAGTAATCATACCGTATGGAAATTTTTTTTAAATTTTAATTTCAGTCATTATCTCTTTCTTTTTCTTTCTTTTTTTTCATTTAGGTTTTTGACATACGGTATGTTCTCTCACTGGAAGGAGATGAAACAGAGAGAGGGAGAGTAAGGAATGACATATTGGGGTGGGGGATATAAACATGCCACAAGCTCTTCTGCTCCACTCTTCTCTTGGGGTTTTGGGCACATGTGCCGTGCATGATTTTCAAGCCACCAGGTTTTGAACTCAAACCATGGCTGGTCATGTGGGAGTTCAGTCCTTTATCTATCACACAACTTGCTGACCCCAAATTTTGTTTTCAAAGATTACAAAGCCATGGTCTTCACTTGATTGAATCTACCAGTACTATTTCTTTTTCTCTTTTTAAATATTACAACTTTATTTCATTTTACTAATTTGGAGATAATTGATATATATTACTATGTTTTCCTACAGTAAACATTTTTAGTCCATAATATTCTTACACATTTGTTTTTAATATTTATTCATAAGTACATTTTGTTCCAAGTTTCCATTGTTGATTGTATATAGAAATGCCACTGATGTTTTAATCATTGTTTTTAAATTGAATAACCCTGCTGCCTTCACTCATTTAGTCTAATGGCTGTGGTTCTCATTAACAATATTACTTCTGCTGACTTTCACTCATGGTGCTTTGTTTCCTTTTGTATTTGTGACTTTTGATCCTGTACTTTTGTATGGGAATTTTAACTGCACAGATTCTTTGAGGATCATTTTGAAGCTGCATTCTTCCAGAGAGCATTGTACTAAATTCTTCAGAACCTAGGACATTTCAAACTGGAGAACATCTTTAAATTAAATTATCTACCTAAGATACTTCTGTTTATATGTTCTATAATATTAGACACAAACTCCTTTGGAAGTAGGCTTGTTGTTAACTAATTTGCAGGGATTTAATTTGTCTCTATCCAGCATGTCCATGAGGAAGAAGGATGGGTAAATTTATTTTTCATTTAACCCCACTAACATGGAATAGCTTTTTAGAATCTTCCCTTCATGAAAGGCTCTCTTAGACTTTCTCTATCCTCATTAGGATTCCACAGCTTCCACATACTCAAAATTGAATCTTATAAACAGGCAAGTTTGGCAGAACTTATGAACACAGGGTATTTTCAATATTTGTGTAACTTCCAAGATCCCTATTTTCATATTTTGTTGTTATTGTTGTGTGTTTGTTTTCTCTCTTTGTAGTTTCCTTACATTGTTGCCTGTTTTTAGGGCAGCTTTTGGTTCACAGAAAAATAAAGCAGATGGTGCAGAGAGTTTTCATACACTCTGTTCTTAAACATGGATAGCCTCTCACACTATCAACCTCCCCACAAGTGATACATTTTTTTATAATTAATGAATCTGGATTGGCACATCATAATCACTCAGTCCACAGTTTACATTAGCATTCATTCTTAGTAGTGGACATTCTGTGTTTGAAAAAAATATGAGAAGACTTCAAGAAGTTTATGTAATAGTGAAGTTGAAGTATGAGTTTATTTTGGTACTGAAAAAAGTTTTAAATCCATGCATAAATGTCTCATAATACATATTTTTCATTGAAATGCATATTTTTTTTAGGGTTTTGCAGTGGTGTGCTCACCAAAGAGAAAAAGACAGTGACAGAGCAGCAAAGGAAAGTGAGAAATCATCCCCCAGGGGCTAAAACATGCCACAATTCCTTCTCTTCCATTCTCCTCCATTCTCCTTTTGGGGTTTTGGGCATGCACTCACACATACCTGGCAAGATTCAAAGCCACTGGATCTAGGACTCAAACTCCAGTCAACCATATGGGAGTCCAGCACCTTGATCACCATGCCAGTACCTAGGCCCTCCATTAGCTTTTTAAAGACTTTCTCATAAATAATGACACACATCCATCATTATAATATGTAATACTGAAGGTTTCACTGCGCTAAAAACTTTGTCCTTTATTTATCTCTCCTTCCACTAACTCCTGGAAACTGTTGATCTTTATACTGCCTCCATAATTTTTCTTTTTCAGAATATCATGCAGTTAGAATGATATAGTATGCGATCTTTTTAGATTAGTATATTTCAATTAGTATGCATTTAAGATTGCTCCATGTGTTTTCATGGTTTGTAAGCTCATTTCTTTTTGTCACTGAATAATATTCCATTGCCTAGACGTACCACAGCTTGTTTATCCATTTTCCTATTGAAGGTTTCTTCCAAGTTTTGACAATTATGAATAAAGTTGCCCTAAATATCCTATCTGTAGTACTATTTTTAAGTCATTTCAAGAGGGAAGATTATTTATGCTGTCTGCTCTACAATACAATCAGAAATGTAAAAACTTTGATCAAACTGTTCATATCTTACTTTTCTGAGTATTTTTATTCTGGATAAAAAAACATTTTATGGGCACATTAGAACCAGTGAAGACCTGCCAAATGGAAAACAAATTAGATTTCTTTTATAAAACTATACAAACAGACATAGAATTTACAGGTAAAAAATATTTGTAGTTCACTTACACAATGTTCATGATTTTTTTTTCTTTAAGATGAATAGTGATAAATGATACAGAGTTTAATATCAAATCAATATGAGGAAGAATATTTGAGCAAAGCTTTTGAAAAATGGTAGCAGCAAGCTCTTCTTTCCCTGGAAATATTCCAGAAAAGGCTAAATGATCATTTTTCCATGTGATGCAGGAAAAAATGTATTGTTTTGTGTTTGACTAAATAGTCTCTAAATTCTCTTGCACTTCAATATACAAAGAATTTGTAAATCAGTGATTTTAAATCATGTGAATTTAACTTTAAAAACTTTAAAAATTGGCCACTTATTTTAGGTTCAAAATATCTTAAATACTTTTAAGTCATATTTCATCACTATAGTTTTATTTTTTTAGATTAATCATAGAAAATGTGTGCTTTCCAGAGATAGAGAGAGGAAAAATATAAGAAAACACCACGTAGGGGGTACTATTATGACATCGTCTCTTCTCCTCCATTCTTCTCCTGGGATTTTGGGTGTGCACACACACACACACCAGGTATGTATTTGAACCTGTCAGGTCCACAACTTCAACCACACAGTTGGCCATGTGAGACCCACCCACTTTAACTGCCATGCCATTGGTTAATCCCATTATAGTTTTTTAATCAAGCATTTTTTCAGTTAACACTTCTGTAGATAAATACATATTAAAATATATCTTCGGGGATGGCAGGTTCATGGTGGTTAAGGCACTGGACTCTCACATGTCCGACTGCTGTTGAGTCGCAGACCTGGCAATTTGCTTTCTCACTTTCCCTCTATCTCTCTCTGGTCAAATTAAAAAATAAAACAACTTTTAAAAATATATCTTGATTCTATTTAATCATGACTTTACTCAAAAAAGCTAAAAAATATATTCAATGACTTTATAACTTTCATTATATTCTTCCCAATTTTTGGACTTTGACGGTTATAATTTAAGAATTTTTATATTCTTAAGTTTTTTTTTTAAGTCCCAACCTATATATCAGAAACAAAATATGACCAAAAATTTAAAGTAATCTTAGTTTAACACTGTCATGTTAACATTGACTATTTAGAGTTTGATTACATGGATGGATTAATATTCAAGTTTAATAACAGAATGCTGTCACAAATGGAACCACAATCACATCAAATTATGAGCATGATTAAATGTAAAAAATAAAAAAACACAACTTAATATATGTACCTCTTAAGAACCTCATATAATTCACATAGTAATTACCCATTAATTTGTCATCTTCTGTAAAAGTCACATACCTATTCTTCTACATAGATTTTTTTTTATTTGTTTAATTTGTTGTTGTTGTTGTGTTTTAGGAAATTCCATTTCATTCTTCTTACCACAGTGTGTTCCTAGAAACCAAATCATAAAATAGTGCTATAATTAGGTGTTGTGTTCCTGACGAAAAATACAGAATTTAATATATCTTAGCCTTAACTGAAGTACGTTCTAAAGATAAAAACATAGAAAACATCAAAGTCGATAATCATTTAAATAAAATAATGCTCTGGATCCTATAAACTTACGTCTAATAGATATACTGTTTGTAGAGTAAAAATTCTATATCAATATAGTATATAATTATCCTATTAGAACTTTCTCCTAAGGCTAGCAGGTGGCATGGTGGTTAAGGGTGTTGGACTCTCACATGGCTGTCACAGTTCAAGTCTTCGACCTGGTAGCTTGCTTTCTCACTTTCCCTCTCTTGCTGTTTCTCATTCTGTCCCTCTCTGGTCAAAATTTAAATAAATAAATAAAGTTAAATGAAGTCTTTAAAAAAAAAAGAAGTTTCTCCTAAAATTAGTAGCTTAGCTAGAAGAAGTTATCAAAACACTTAATTAAGAATAAGTTTACTTTGTGATCTTAGACGTTAGAAGGTCATGTAAAAGATGATTCTGTTATCTTTAAGAAGGTTTTTAAGTGTCTGAATCATATGTTGTTTATCCTCATAAAAATTTCTCAGTGGTAGACAGAAACTAAAAAAAAAATCATCATGTTGACCTTGAAAGTAGGCTTTAAGTAGTGTATTTACTGCTTTAGTTTTGCTTTTCCACTAAAAAGCATTTAAAATGTGAGGTATTATCTGTTATCCATTTCCAGCAAAACAAAAATCATATTTTTCATCATCTTCAATATTCTCTCATGAAACCTCACCACACTCACTGATTTGAATGCTTATTTCACTTTTTAGTTTTTCACTTTTTCACCCCAATGTAACTCTAGATGTCTTTACAGACTAAGAAACAAGGAGCGATTAAATGACTTAAAAATAATAACCATGTCTTGTTGCATATGAATTGGTTACTTGGTCATGTTGAAAACTAAAGATATGAAGATCATATCTTAATAAGAGCTATGAATCGAAAACTAAGGTAGGCACTTTATTTACTTTGTCTCTAATCCTCATACCAATATTTACAGCATAGATTTTATTATTTTTACTTTACAGTTGAAGAAATCAGCTTAAAGAGAATTTAAATAATTTTCTCAAGATCACGCACACAGCAAATAGAAAACTGGGATTTGAACTAAGTAAGTCTGTCTCTCCATTCTCTCTTCTTGTTCCTCCCATATTGATTTCCTGGAAACCTAGAGAGTGATGAAAGCCATTCAGCTTTCATTTCCAGAAAGGTGAATGAGATGAGTAATTCATTTTCATGCAATCCCACAAACATCTCTTAAGTAGATACTTTGTGAGCACTGCATTAGATAGACTGTATGGAATATTCAAAAAACCTTGAAGCAACACTGAGTTCAAGATAATTATTCAATTATTCAAGATAATTTAGTCCAGAAAATAAGTAAAAGGAATTTCATCCAACTTGGTTCCGTCCATTGGCCAATAATGGATTCTGATTCTGTTTTCAGTTTCAGACACAACTAATATACACCCACAAAAAAATTGTTCATCTTTTCTTCCTCCACCATAGCAAACTTTGTAAGGTGATTTCCATAGTTTATCTTCCAAGACTGAAGAAGTTTTTAGAGAATCATCAAACAGATGAACTTGGCTTCAGCAGCAATAAAAAAAAAATGCTCTGATTTATTTTGCAATTACACAACACAAGGCTGAGAAATGTGTATTGTTATTTAACACCAGCCCCTCAGGTTCTCTTCACTCACCAACCTACACAGCTTAGGCAAATTCTACTTAGCACATTTCCTTTTGGGCATATACATATTGAATCACAGACACCACTGGGATTCCCCTGCTGAATTGCAATCACTAGATAAGCGCCCACAAGTTAACCAGTCTCAGTCCAGAGATTTTGTAGTTTAGCATGTGTACTTGAATGCTTCCAAATCCGTGCTGGATGTTCCAATCAGCATTTTAATTCAATGATTCAACCGAAAATTAAAGCAAAATCTGAAATAAACTCAATATATTTGTTGAGCTCTTTGCCCCTAACCAAAGCAAATACAAAACTGTTTACTGGGCTATTAACTGAATTGGGTCTGTGTTGGTTTGTTTGTTTCTAATTCAGCCCAAGTGGGTCCAGCAGGAAATAAATCTACATATTACTAAACTAAATAAGTACAAAAACAATGGAAAATATGTTTATGAACCAAACTTAGGCCAAACTGGTATTTTATTGACTCCAAATACATGAGATATAGGTGGGAGGGAACATTTTTCACTGCAACAACTTGAAGATACTCTCTTAATACTCAAATACCAATATTGAATTTCAGCAACTCATCCCTCAGGTGCCATCATGCCTGATTTCCCTTTGATATTTTGCCAAAATGTTTTTCATTTGCCTTTTTTCACAATTCAGAGAACCAAAATGAATTCTCTCACACACACACATTACAGTTCCAGTTCCATTATTTAAGCAAACAGAATTAATTGTCACTGCCAGCTTAACTAGTTATAAATTTCTCACCATAATTGTCAATATCTTCACTATTATAGATTTAACTTATCTTTTTAGTGTTAGTTCATACATTTCCCTCTAGAAATCCTGTGTAACCACAAAATTGAAATAATTCCTTGTGGCTAAAAGTAACCAATAATTTTCTACATGAGGGACTTTGTTCATGCTATTTCTTTATATTTTCTGCATAGTTTTAAGAGAAATCCTGTTGTTAAGGTATTGTTAAGCCAACTGTGGTTATGAATCAGCAGTTTTGGTGTCACCTGAGAACTAGTTAGAAACTTATCTTGGAACCAGCAGGTGGTGTGGTGGTTAAGGGAGCTGGACTCCCACATGGTCAAATGTGGTTCGAGTCCTGGACCTGGTGACTTGCTTTCTCACTTTCCCTCTCTCTTCCTCTCTCTCACTGTGTCTCTATTTTATCAAATGAAAATAAAATAAATAAATAAATGAAGTCAAATAAAATAATTTAAAAGAAACTTGTCTCATACCTACTCTAGACCAATTAAATAAATTTTTATTTTAACAGGACTCCAAATGTTGTATATGCACATTTAAGGTAGAAGCATACAAAAAACAGTACTTTTTTATGACACCTGGATGATATTTTCAATGAATGTAAGAATTTCCTCTTTTTATCTTATATCAATAGGTTAATTAATCATTTCCTTTGTCTGAAAGCATTTATTAAGTGGTCATTATGCTCTAGTCAAAACTTAAAAGAGCCACTTCAAAAAGCGATGTTTTCTCATTTATTAAGATGGAGTTATAAAAATGCAAATAATTTAATGCATAAATTGTAGATTATCTGTGAGAAAACAGTAAAAAATAAAAAAAGATAAACAGAGGCTTAGAAAGAGAGTACTACATATAATACACATACTACAAATAACATAATATAATATAATATAATATAATATAATTTGCAATATCTTACGACCTCTGTGTGTGTGTGTGTGTATGTGTGAGAGAGAGAGAGAGAGAAAGAGAGAGAGAGAGAGAGATTATGCCACTCTTCAATGTGAAATATTTTCCTTTTCTTTGGAGAGGTTTTTGCTACAGGGCACGTGTGCTCGCCAGAAAGACAGAGAGAGACAGAGAGAGAGAAAGTCAGAAATCACCCCCGGAAGGATGGCCACGCTGCAATCCCTTCTCCTTCATTCTCCTCCTAGGATCTTGGGCACGCACGCACACGCGCCTGGCGTGAGTTACGTTTTATGTTTAAAAAAATGAAGTTGAACTTCCAGGTTCTGGTCTAGTATATAAAGATCTTGGAAGTTGCTATACCATCCTAACAAGTAAAAAGATGAGCAAATTTGAAAACCAACAACTCTTCCTAGATTCATAAGAGAAGTGATTTTGCAGGGCAAACCACTGTATCATAAATTGGAGACAGGCAGAGAATCACAATTTTTAGAGAAGAAACCCATGTACAGAAACTTCCACTGGAACCCACGCTGGAGAAAACTTACAACTGTCATTGACAAACTGCTACAAGTTCAATTTGAACAAACCTGAGAGTCAAATATTCCAGGGAAACCCAATCATGTACAGAGGTTTACCTCACTCTAGTGAATTTTACCTCCAAGAGAGTGACAAAGTTCTCACAGTGATCATCAGAGAAAAATCCTCTCATGCTTCTGCCAAAGGAAGGGAAAAGTAGCCATTTTTAAATACACCAGAGCATTCTGTTCTTAACAATTTCTGCCTTCAGGAAAAACCATTTAACCAGATCCTAAACTGCTATGGTTTTATTAGTCTAACTGACCTGGGAGAAGAAATACCCAACTCCAGCCCACTCTAGTCTTCCTCATAGAATAAAGAAAATACCAGGTCAGCCTGTGGCCCTATGGTTAAGACAGTCAGATCCCACATGGCCATGTACGTGGTTAGAATCCAGGCCCTGTGGTTTGAAAAACATGATGGGTAAGTGTGTGTTCATGTACACAATTCTGACAAGGTGGAGACATAAAGGAGAAAGGTTTGTGGTGTGGCTCTGCCACATGGAGATGCTCTCTATGTCTCCCTGTCTCTGTATCTCTCTCTCTCTGGTGATAATATTTAAAAAGTTAAAATAATAATAGAAAAAGGGAAAATTCCAACTTTGACTTCCCACAGGCTCCCATGTGGGAGAAGGACAAACTATGTGACCTAAGAGGGAGCATGGAACTACAAAGCACTCATACTTTTCACATAGTCCAGAGGCACAGTTTCAAATAGAGACTTGAGACCTACTCATGGGATTATGAATGACTCCCCCTTCTCCCACACTGTCCTATCACATAACCAACTACCCATTTGCAATAGTTCTTTTTACTCAGTACATCATCAAGATAACAAGAAAATTACATGGCAAACTAATAGGCACACATGTAAAGAGACAAAACAAGTATCAAAACTGGACACAGATGTTTTGTGGATGTCGGAATTATCAGACTAGGAATTGAATTTAACCTATGATTAAGATACTAACA